GGCACGAAAAGTGCAAAAACGCATAATCGCACCGGCCCGCCTGGTGCGTTCCAGCCTGGGTTTTTAGCAGACCCCACAAAATCATGCCAGCACAATACCTCACTAGATTCGCATTATACTTACTAAATTATGGTTGTAATAAATGTAGGAGGTACCATATACCATGTTCTATTTCTGTGTAAAAGGGTTGATAACACAGTAGAACTGAAAAGATTCGCTTTCGCAATTGTTGTCAAGTCAGTGTTGAAAGAGACATATCGTAGCTTAATGAAGGCTATCCGTCTTGCTTTTTTCTCTGGATAGCTCTGTATATAGCTCGCTGTTCATTCGTATTGCTTGTCCCAGTAGGCGCTCTTCACAAACTTAACCGACTGGTTTTTGAGATCATGTCAAACTGATGGCAATAGGAATTCTTCATTCACTTTGTTATTCCCCGCTGATTTATAGTTCAGGTTTATAATTCAGCCCTAGTAAATTAGTTACATGTCCTTTCAATACATGGTGGGTAGAAGGCTGTATTGACGATTCCCATTCCTACCCGCATGCATAGTCCGGTCTGTGTTTACAGCTAGGGGTTGAAATACAGTCTGCATCGAAAAATATCACCCCACTACATCTAAAAGATAATGGCAGTTTGCACCATAAAATAACACCTTACACATGGCCTGCGTACAATCCTGTTGGCCTATTATTTCCCTTACAGTGATTCGCCTTCTCATTTGTCGAACAGTGTAACGTTTGACAGTTTCCTGTGATGGGAAAAATGTCGTCCGCGAAAATATTACTCGAAGTAGTTCGTCGCCAGTGCAAAATCCTCTGTATAACTTCGAAATGGTGCAAGTCTAATAGAGCGACAGAATAGTTTATCAAGTTAGCAATGCAAATTCATCTCGAGCTCTTTTTTGAAAACTGCAGTTCGATAGCAGTGAGGTGGGAAAATTCAGTGCAGTTGCACATCGATAGTGAAGAAAAGGAGATGTTAAAGTTTTCACGGCATCACGCATTGCAGCGTACGACAGAGGAGTTTCACATCAGTTCATGCCAGCATGCCGCACCAATCAATATACAAATTTGCCAACCAACGTATGGAGAAGAAAATCGAAATATTGTCTTCGCTGGCCTATACAAAGAGCGGATTAAAGGGTTCTCAGGTACAATGGGGGGAGATCAGTGCGCCAAATATCCCGGAAATATGATTTGTCGTATTGCGGAGAATGCAAGCAAGACGGGAGTGAGCAACATCGGCGAAGCTCTTGGAGAATTTCGGGAACTTAATGCTAATGTTGGCAATGGGAATGAGGAAAAGGAAATAATTTATCAGCCAGTTAGTACGTTGATGCATTATAATATTTGCTTCCGGACATATTAGCTCCTCGTTTTTTGCAAGTTTCTGGCTACCATCATCAGTGTTGCCGTAGCAGCCCATTTGGTTATACTACATACGTCGCTCTGCCCTTGTGGTATTTTCAACGTTTCAGGCTGATGAGGAAGCGTTTAATGATATGGGCA